GTAGTAGTAGTAGTAGTAGTAGACGGCTACTTTTACTACCATTCTTCGTACTGCTGTTGCAGCTTCTGCTCCTGCTCGTGCTCCTGCTGCTACTGCTTCTGCTTCAACTGCGACGACTACTTCTGCAGCAAGAACTGGCACGTACCACCAGTCAGCACTTGTCGTTTTCTCCTGCTTCCGAACTTTGGTCACAATGGCGACAGTGACTGATCGCGAGATCTGCTGCTGCGCAAATGATGTGGAGTCGCTCCTGACTGTTTGCCGCAGCTGACGGTAATGATAATGGCCATGATGATAGTGAATGAAACTCATCGTCCTGCGACGACAGCACAAATCTCGGTGATTGCGATTGGTTATGTGGAGAATAGGCCTGATGGTGACGACCTGGAGGAGAATCAGTATGAGCCAGTATGAGTCGATTGTTCATGCAGCTCGAAGCGAACCCTGCAGAAGGACCATAATCCTAAACCCGAAGCCTACCCCCTGTTTAACCCATGTGGGTAGTCTGAACTAGGGGCATTTCTGGATCCTTCCATATGGGTGCGCTTGGCGAAGTCACGAAATCCGAGGACGGCTTTTGCGTACTTTCAGGGGCGCAGCCATCCGATGGACGTTCGCCTTGGAAGCCACATTCGTGTTTCCCAGGCACGGGTTCATTGGGGTTTCGGTCTTTGCTTGATAGCAGTACCTGAACCTTAGACGGGCAAGATGTACTTGTGGATACCATATCTATTGCATCCCTCTTCTAGGTTTCGTACAGTCAGCGAGACAGGGTTGGTTTGGGGATTTGCACTTGAGCTGCCGGGTGCTGATTAGACGGTCCTCAAGGAAGATTGAGAAAGGCCTCAATAGTAACAACAATGATCATAATGATACTATAGCCAGCTAGATACGTCGACCAATGTTTTGGACTATGAGTCTTGTCGACGCTTTTAGCGTCCTAAAGCCGCTCCATCCAAGGCACCTGCAACAGAGTCTGCAAAGAACCACGGTTTGCGGTTGAGGCTTTAGGGTTTAGAATTTAGGCTTTGGGGTTTAGAGTTTAGGCTTTAGGGTTCAGAGTTTAGGCTTTGGGGATAACTGAGGGCGATCAAGTGGCCCATCGCTGTTCAATAGCGCCAACCGCCTATCCATTCGCAACCTGTGAGCGACAGTCGTGAACAGCGACCATGGAAGTGGGATCCACACACGCATCCTGCTGTCCTGTCGTTACGTGCTCCAGGCTCCATAGGTGTGTTTCTGCTTGATCCCTTGTAGGGCCTGTAGTTTCCGCATGATACGAGGCTCAATTCGAGGCAGCGCAGAACCCTAATTTAGAGACCGTCGCATCGTTCATCACGCTTCAATCCTGCAACGACAACGGAACTCGTGCCTCGCCGAGCATACACCACCTGAGTAGTAGTGACAGGCAACGATTGTACTCCGACACGTTCGTTTCATGCCGAACCCTAAGCCCTAAGCCGTAGCGACATGAGGTGAGACTTCTGTGACGTGAGCTTAGGAAGACCGGTGCTTAAGGAGGATTCGGCTTAGGGTTCAGGATTCAGGAAGCATCAGAAAGCCGGATGACATACAGAAGCCAACCTCACCGGGGCGAAGAAGATTGGATTCAGGGCTAGGGCTTGGATTCAAGGCATGGGCCGGGGTTTGTGGTTTAGGTTCTTGGAGTTTAGGGGTTTAGGGTTTAGGTTTAGGGCCTGTAGCAGAGCATTCGGAGTGAATCCCAACCCTCGCAGCTCCGGCGAGGCAGATGTGCAGGGCCTCAATCTTAACCTGGCGTACTTCATCGCCAGGACAGAATGTGGGCGTTAAGGGTACTCGGCGCCAGTCGCCTATAACACCTGCCCGTTTCAAGGAGTATAGTTTAGACGTGAATCAGTTCCTGAACGCAGAAACCCTCAAAAGCCGCTTCGAACAAAACGTCAAAGCACCTTGATGAAGCGGTTTAGGGTTTAGGGTTTAGCGTTTAGGATACTTTAAATCCTATGAATGGTACCGGAACCGCAAGATCATTCACTTTGCAGTCTCAAGCTTCGACACCTTAATCCGTAAACCCTGAGAAAGCAGCTCCTGAAGACGTGGCACGAGGAGTGGCCTCACCGATATGGAGAACCCACATGCACCTCGAGTCTTCGAGAAGGGCCGGCGCGTAAACCTCTTGGAGGTGTGCGTCTGGATTTTGGGGCTTTCCTTTACGGTACTACACGGGCTCTACGGAGTTTCCGGGTTGTTGGGTTTAGGGCTTTTCGGCTTTAGGGTTACAGGGCTGGAAGTCCTTAGGCTTAGGATGTGGGCAATCATGGGGTATAGGTTGCAGGAGGATTGGATTCCTGTGGCCGCCACGGACCGGTGAATGTTCCGGGGTGTTGATCGTGCCCCGCACTTAATATAGAAGCCTAAATAAGTGCCAACACTTTTCTTTAGGGTCCCTTAGTCTTACGAGCCCCAAACCCTGCTCAAGAATTATCGTGGGTGCTACATTAAACCCGAATTCCCTGGAGTAGTGCGGCGAGCATTTCGGGCTCATGGAATGGTCAACGAAGTGTTTTGTATGTAGGCCTTGCTTGGACTGTCAGGTGCTCTGGAGTTTTCTGGGGTCCCATGCTGGCATATCTACTATATTGTTTGCAAGGAGAATTCTGGCGTCTTCATGCCACATTGTGAATGTGCTATGACTGCAGCGAGCTTGGCAATGTCACGGGCAAGCCCTAGTACAAACAGCTATGCAATGATTGACGACGGGCGAGTCTCCCAGTTTGCTAGCTTCAGCCAGCTAACTTCATTGTCAACAGAGTGGAGCTCATCTCCACCACCGTAGCCATCGTGTCGAGACACTTAGTGCCAGACTCACCTTGCGCTTTTCCTGCCTCACCTTCATCGCTAGCGCCTTTCCTTCCTCACCTTCATCGCTAGTCTTGCACGGCTTCAACACATCATCTCGATCGCCTTCATCACCATCATCATCATCATGTCAATCATCATCGTCATCGTCATCGCCAACCAAAGTCGCATCCTGCTTCATGTTGGCGCACGTCGAGAGGCTTAGTGATATCCCTGAGCTTGAAGCCCCCGGCCGTCATGGACAGCTCAGTTTTCCCAAAACATCAAAAGAACTTTTGCTGAAAAACAGTCAGGACACGGTTAGGGTTTAGGAACGCGAATTGAAGCTTGGGAGGCTGCGAAGAAGCACGTCACCATGCAACTGGTGGCGCAGGTACCCTGTTATGCTCAGCGTTCAGGGTTGCGGATGGTGCATGGCTAGGTGCAGTGGATTGGGATGCTTTCTCGGCGCCGGTGGAACTTGAGGTGCTATGCTGGTATTTCTCGCACAAGCTTGCTGAACCCTCATCTCCGGCTAAGAAGCCCCTAAGGAGCGATCCGAACTCTCTTGCTGCCCCCTAAACCTCCAGTTACCTAAATGGTAGGTTACTGGGGTACATAATATATGGTTAGTAACCCACAATTTAGGTAACTGGAGCCCTAGGGACCCAGAGCAGCATCCGTGTGTGACGACTGAGGCCAGCCAGCACGTGAAAGCAGTCGATGATGTGGCTTGGCACGACATGTGTGGAATAATTACCCTCAACCCTAAACCCTAAACCCTGAACCCTAAAGAATTGGACATGTTTGGAATTTGTGCCCTAAACCCTAAACCCTAAAGAGTTGGCCTTCAGAGTGACTGTTTGGCCTTTCAGGCTCCTCTCCAGCGGAGACCAAGGACTAAAGCACCAAACCCTGCGGCCTCAAAGCTAAAACGCAAGTGGCACCCTACCTAAGACGCGAAGTGAATCCTGATATGAAAGCTTGCTTAGCTAGTGGGTGCACCGAAGCCGAGCCGCTTGCAAGTGGCGTAAGCACCATACTTAATTGACGCGAGGTTCGCGCTTAACATGTCAGAGCTAGAGCAGCATGAAGAGAATAAGTCTAGTAACTCTTACCATCAGAACCTATAGGCGTATGCTTCTTCCCGAAATCCCTCGTCCCCAACCCCTTGTAAGGGCTTTAGGAATCCCATGACGCCCTTGACAATCTAGACTTACAAAGCTCTTCACCTTAAACCCCCGGCAAGAGTCGAGGAAACCTTGTAAAGGACCTGTTCATGAATAGCTTAACCCTCTGTTCAATACCTACACTCTACCCTGAACCGTAAACCCCAACCCGCCGGAAGACAACTCAGGACCCCACACAAATCCCTGCAAGAACACCCTAAAACTCTACAAAACCCTGCCGAAGCCCAAGTCAAGCTGAAAACCTTACGCAGCCTTTCCCGTGATAGACATGTAAAACTCTTTTCAACGTGTTGTTTCCCCCTAAACCCTACACCCTAAAAAAAAACCCTAAACCCCTAAAAGAAGCCTTGACGAAAGCGGCCGGTCTAGCCTCGGAGGCCCGCGCCAGGCAAGCAGCCCGACCGAGAAGAGATCCACCGATGCTTGTTCCGCAAGTCGTAGAGTGGTTTAGGCTTTTGGGGGTTTAGGGTTTAGGGCCATAGAGGAGGTTTTTTTGGGGTAATTATGGAGGGTTTATAAGGGCTGACCGGTATTCCCATTCTTGTTAGCTGATATTTAATACATACCGCTTTCTGTATGGCTTCGACGACGACAGCGTCGGCTTGTTTGGACCACGACGGCGACGGTGACGGCAATAAACAACCACGACGCTCACAACGACCACAACGAGCCAGTCGCATTCCACCCATGCTTACGTTAACAAAGCCACGTTTCAAGCGTCCCATGCGATCATGAATCATAAAAAAAGGAATAATGAATATCTCATTGCTTTCTGATGATGAGCGCCGCGATGGTTAAAGGATCCTGACGTCGATGATGGTCGTTGTGGTGATGAAGCTGGAGAAGCTGGTCAAGTTGATGACTACGATAGGTTGACCTTTTTTAGGATAGGTTCGTGCTCGCGCAAAGCATCTTATTTGAGCTGTCTTAGGGCAGGTAGCTTGCAATCCGGGCTGAAAGGCTCAAGGCACATTCGCATTCTGAAGGCCTCTTGGCGCATGTGATCGGAAATTGATGCTTCGATAGTTCTCTTCATCACCGCACAGTCAGCACATCAACCTGAGATGAACAGCATACTATCCATCTCTATATCTAGCCGCCCCGGCCATCCAGCCTCCCATCCGTCTACTTATCTGTCTATATATCTATCTATCTACTTACGCTCGCTATCTATCTATCTGCCTGCCTGCCTGGCGACCTGCCTTGCTTCCCTGCATGCCTTCCTGACTGGCCCACTTATCTATCTATCTGCCTGCCCTCTTGCCTAGCCATGTATTCATGTACCTTTTATTTATTTGTCTCTCTCGCGCTCTCGTTGTATACGGATATATATATATATATGTATGTATATATATATATATACATATGTGTGTGTGTGTATGTCTATGTCTCTCCCTACCTCTATGTCCATCTCCATCTCTATCTCATGTCTGTCTGCATCCTTATCTCCATCTCTGACTTTGTGGGCTATCTAGCTTCCTTGATGCAGATACACGTACTTAAGCATATAAACACAAGCATATAAGTTAGTATCTACACAGCTACAAATATAAGGGCAAGTATAATTAAAACACATTGGAACAACATTCCTAGACCCTAAACCCTAAACCCTAAATTGATGCTTGGACTCACAAGCCCGAGCTCCGATACCCAAACAGCCTTGCAAGTAGATGCACCTCATTGCGAGCATCTGATTCCTAAGTCACAGGTCCTGCCTACATTCCGAAAATACAAGTCTTTTAAACCCTAAATCCTAAATTCAGGGTTTAGGGTTTAGGGTTCCCTAAATTCCTAAGCAAAATCTAAACCCTAATCTTGAGTCCCAGGAAGCAAGACTTGCGCAGCTATGATACCTGGCCGGTTCGAGGCTCCTTGGCAGTGGTTCAGTTCAGCGTTTGTTGGTGTACTCGAGCAGCCGAAATAATTGCCAATATATATTTCCCAAGGGTTCCCGATTGTAGCTATACCATGATGGAGCCCAAAACCTTATTCTAATTATTACGGCCCTTACATTCACAGGTTGAGGGTTAAGGGTAATCCTCAGGTTTGGCGATCGTCCCTGGTCTTTGGCTGTTGGGCTCTATATCCGGAGCCTTCAGAATGTTTACAACACGAAACACCCTTTCAAAAAAGGATAATCCCTTGTTGAAAGGAGAATTAGGGTGTAGGGTTTAGGGGTTTAAGGAGAAAGTCTATAGCATCCTCACACACCTTATCCCTAAACCCAAAACCCCGTTTACATGTGGAGAGACTCTAGGGATGTACTATTGGTAGTAAGTAGTAACTGGTGGTATTATTATGGCGGTTATTTGTACTATTACTAATATATTATTGTGTTCTGAGTAGTTTGTATCAGTACTATTGCTAAATTGCCATTATTGGATCGTGGCGTTGCGCCTTTGTCTCGGGATTTCAGTAGCCTGTATCTTTACGGAGAACCTGGCGAGTGGGTCGGTGAAACACGTGTTTGGGGCTTTGGGTTTGGGGTTTGAGGAAGGTAGGGTTTCAGGGTTAGGAAGAAAGGCTCTATGGCTTTACAGCGTTGGGGTTGTAGGGTTTGGTACGTTGTGATTATGCTGCGACATGTCCAACTGACAGTATGGGTCCAAAGGACCCAATAGTTAGGTACTGGGGTTTAGGATAGTCGGATAGTATAGTTATGTAGGTTACTAGTTTGGAGAGTATATGGTTACTAGGCACTTGGACCCTTAGGGAATCATCTGGACCACCCAAGCTTCCCTTGTTCACCAAGAGTGTGAGCTTGCTCGTCAAGTAACTTAGACGATAGATTCTCTGCATGAGTCTTGAACCTCCCTCAACGAAGTCGCGCAATCTTCGGCCGCTGAATGACGATGATGGTGAGGATGATGATGGCAATGGCGATGGCCATTACCGTTGAGATGATGCTGCTGACTGCTATGAGTTTGCTTTCGTCTTAGAACATTGTTGTGACTACTCTTCCGTTGTTGCGCCGCTGTTGCTACTGTTTGCATTGGGTCTGTTGTGTTTATATAGTCTGGTGGCTTTGTCCACACTTCAATATTACATTCTGAGCAGGACAGGACGCAGTACCTGTGAGACCTCCTGGTTGAATGAAGTCACCTTGCGGCTGTGACTCTAAATTGCTAAATCCTAAACCCTAACCTAAACCCTAAACCCGAAGCCAAGCAACCTAAAGCAGAAATGGACCCCACCCTGACCCCTTAAACACTTCGAGAGCCAAACGAGGCTCGTGGTCCCCTCATCTGCTCGCTACAGTTACTAGTTATGGCTGAGGGTGTAGGGTTTGCGTTTAGGGCTTTAGGGTTTGGGGTTTAGGAAGAAGGTAACAGTCATCGTTCCCCGACTACCAAGCGGGTGAAAAGTACTTCGAGGCTATGTGCAGAAACCCTAAACCCCGACTACCAAGCGTGTGAAAAGTACTTCGAGGCTACGTGCAGCAACATGTCAATGTGCGACAAGCTCCCGCATCGAATGCTTGGCGCAACGACAGAAGGGATGACAGCCCTTTCGGCAGCAGTGTTTTTTCTGGTTAGGGTTAGGGGGTTCATTTTGAGGTGTTTAGGAATTCGGGGCTGGGCTGTGTAAGCTGTGGGATCTTGTTAGTTGTGGGCTGGAGTTAGTCTGAGCTTGTTGGAATTAGGGCATTTGCCTGTAATGACCATCCTCAATTCCTTCTTCGTTATTAGGAATGTTGTTGCGGGTTTGCAGTGAATCTAGATGTTTATGTACTGGGCTGCTCTGCTTTCTTGCGAGCACAGCGGCATCGTCACCCCCTTTTAGAGCGAGCGGCCATGTCGTCGTCCTGTCGCATGTGCATCGTTGGCTCTGCAACTTGGGCCGCAAAGGGGAGCCCTACTGACTCCCAGACACTGAACCCCCAAACCGCAAAACGCAAGAAACCCCCGAGACGCTAATTCTTAGACCCTCAGGCTCAACTACCGGACGGAACTACAACGCCAGAATCTCGAGGCCTCCTTTATGGTCCATAAACCCCCGCTCAATCCTGAAGTCCCTGAACCACATCAAGCCGAGCAATAGCAGCAGCAGCAGCAGCAGCAGCAGCAGCAGGAGTAGTCGTAGTCGTCGTCGTACTAACTAGCCGTGGTAGTAACTTAGTAGTAGTAGTGGTGGTAGTAGTAGTAGTACTACTACTACTACCACCACTACCACTACCACTACCACTACCACTACTGCTACTGCCACTGCTGTTACTATACTATTGCTACTACTACTTCTGCTAATTCTATTTCTACTTTCACATCTCCTTCTACTCTACTTCTGCTTCGAGATCTACTTCTTGTCCTACTAGCACCACTACTGCTACTAGTGCAGCAGCAGGGGTAGTTCTTAGTAGTAGTCGTCGTCGTAGTAGTAGCAGCAACAGAAGTCGCGGCACTTGAAGTACCGCCACCCTCCTCCAAAAAAGCAGAGTGAAATGATGCTTTGAGGCTATGTTGCGCAACATGTACATGTGCGACAAACTCCCGGAATGCACGCTTGTCATTCGAATCGAAGAGATGACAGCACTTTCGGCA